AAAAGGTGATATGCCATCCAAGAAAAGAAAATGACCACTATCATACATTGCTTCCTAATGTTGATAGGCAATATGGCGACAAGCTACTTCTAGAGTAAGAAGAACCTAAGTTCGAAGAAAGTAAGATGGTAGGATTTATTGGCAGAGTTTGACTATATCATGTAGTACAAGCTTAGAAAATCAAATGTTGTGGTGGACCTCTAAGTGGAAAGGTCGAGCTAGCATCATGAACAAGTTGCTCAAAGGGATTGTTAAAGCTATCAATGTTGGGATGAAATATGACCCTTTAACCTAGCAACTTTTCGAGCTAGCTACCGAAAGGAAGACCAAGTGATTTTGGGTGGAAGATGGTCTTCTCTATACAAAGGGCGGGCAAGTTTATGTTCTAAGATTTGAAAATCTATAGAAGAACTTGATCAAGGAGTGCCACGACACAAAGTAGTATGCAATCTGATGCAAAGACGTACGAGAGCTTCGCTAGAGTTAGCCTACTATATGCCACATATGTGAGATGAGGTGGAATAGTTTGTGAGGACTTGTCTAGTTTGCCAACAAGACAGGGTAGAGAATAATCACCTGGGAGGATTGCTAGCCATTATCGACGCTAAGAGACCTTAGGTGAGTATGAGCATGGACTTCATCACTGCATTGCCAATTTTAGAAGGGTGTAGTTCAAGTATTGTGGCAGTTGACCGATATTCCAAGTATGGAACTTTTAACGCCATTTCCCTTTTTTTATGAAGACAAAGCAACAATATTAAAACAAGATGAGGAATGAAAGAGTTGGGGACTTGGGGGTAAGGCTGTTAGTATGCCCTAGGAACCAATCGTGTTGTCGATTTCAAAGGACATTATCTTGTGTATTTAAAATTATGCATTATTTACATTATTAATAATATAAGAATTGTTCTTCATTTCATATGTTTTTCTTATTGCTTCAATTTATACTTTGTTTACATTACATATGGAATGTTCGGATGATCTGAACCTTCAAAAGATCGAATCATCGAAGAGTTCCCCACATGCATAATGTTAATTATGCAACAACACTGCATAGTAGACATGCTGAATGTCTTCTTTGAATGTCATGTGATGACATTATTGTCACTGATTACAAAAGTCATATCAATAGGGCATTAGCGTGGATAAACAGTTAGTGAACTGTTTATCGAACATGACCGATTACGATGAATCACATGGTCATCTAAAATGTAGTCAATGATACATCGTAGGGTCGTACTAGTGTACCACTGATCCTTAGACCTGAGACATCACAGTTGGATTCGTTGCAGATGCATATGGTTCATATGGTGTATAACCTCGAGGCAAATCATGTCATGTGCAAGAAGTCAGTTTGATCATGTGTTGTTTATGTGCAAAGACAAGTGATAATCAAGAAGGGATCTGTCGACTCGAAATAGTTTTAAGTTCCCAGACGAATGTCAATAAACATTGAAAATGAAAAATCCTCGGCCAAGGTGTATAATAAAGTCGCATGAAAGGTGTTTCATGGCAGCGTGTTCCAATATATCAATTAACCATTTGGATAAAGGTGAAGTAAAGGGTTTTGATATAGCATGAACTTATTATTGATTGGAATTGGACGATAGAGGGATTTTACTACATGGTATGTATGATCGGTTAAAAGGTTCATTAATGGAGTTTTTTCTTCATTGTGATTTAGGGGTTATGGAACATTATTAGATGTCTACCATAATTGGTCGGAGTTTCGATCATAGGGAGTTATAATGAAACATATTGGAATCCAATATTGAGCCCATGGCTAGATCACAGTGAACCAAAATGGTCACACATAAAACCAAGCTCAAGGAGAGAGAGTAATACTTATCATTAATCAAGTTAATGATGTTCAAACATAAACAGTTACATCCAAATTAATGTTTTGGTAAGAAATGATTATCCATGGATAGCTAGCACTAACCAAGTGCAATAAGGACATTTAAATATTATTGAATGATATTCAATAATAGAGGCCAAAGTGAATTGGCTTTATTCTAAAGGGTTAGAGTATTTAATGGGATTGAAATTTGTGGCATAATTATGATTAACCATAAAACCAAGGACTTGACATAAATTTTTTCAAGTTATTTTAAAATTGTTTATGGACTTCCCAAAACAATTTTAAAATTGCACATTGTGCCCATGGTATATAAACCAATTTTTATACCGTTTTCAAACATAAGAAACAAAACCACTCTCTCACTCATCTGAGCTCTCTCATCTTTGGCTTGGGTGGATCACATTTTGAGTTTCTTCATTCTCTTTTGAAGAATCAAGATCCAAGTGCTTAATAGCAAAGGAGTAGGTAATATTCCATCATTTTCTTACACTAACTTGTTAATGTTTTTATTGTTTTGTATTCTACCTTATCTCTATCACTTTCTTCATCATTTATACACCATTTCCATGTCCAATCTCTATGAATCCAATAGAGGCAACTAGAATGAAAGGCTTAGGAATAAGTTTTCTAGGGTTTTATTTATCTTAATTCATAAATTATGTAAATACTTTTCTACACTTTACTATTTTAGTTTAACAAAAATTGTGTAACAATCGTCTGTCAATAGGGGGATAACTGTTATTTCCAAGTCCTTAAGGGCATCTAGTATTAAGCCAAACCTTAGGGGTTTATTTGTAATATCCCATATATACAATTCAAAGCCCAAGTTATGAAGCACTAATATCAAGATTAGGGAAAGCATGCTTGTCAGGGAGTTATTAACTTGGGTTCATTGTACTCTCTTCCTTCACTAAATTTTTCTCCTAGGTTAATTTTAAATACCCTTAAATTTTGAAAATTTGTCACCTAGATTAAGGATTTGGGTCTATTATTCAAAAACCAGCCTTATGCTTTTGAAGTTGGAACCCTATATTTTTTTTATGAAATTATTGAATTAAACGTTGATTTAAGTTAATTTTGTAATTTAAAGAATTGTGTATAGGTATATTTGTTATTGATTTAAGTTTATTTTGTAATTTGAAGAATTATGTATCATTGTATTTATTATTTTACAATGTAAATTCAACTTAGAAATAGTCCTGACTTTTAAAAGCTACCCATACTAGTTTTTAGATTGTTTTATAGAATTGATTATTTTATAGTTCTAAAAAATATACTAAAAAATAATGGGATAATTACACAAAACCCACGTGTAGATCACATAATGCAGCAAGACCCTGCACATATGGGAAATGGGACCTTAACCCCCCTTTTGTCAAATTCTATTAATATAAATCCGTTAGATTGCCTAAAAACATTTTTACCCTTGTTGAACCTATCAAAACTTACAAGACCCTCCAAAAGCAAATTTTAAAAATACCCCCTACCTCTCAAAAGTGGTCGTTGGTAGCCCCTTGGAGGCTTCATGGTATTCGCCAAAGCCATAGAGGCTTTACGGCAAGAGCGGCGATTAAGGCCCGATAAGGCCTCTTGACTGCCAAATGAGGCCAGATCCAGCCTTTATTGGTGCTAAGAGGCTAGATACAGCACTGTAAAGGCTATATCAGACCTCTCGTTGTCGATGAAAGGCTAGATCCGGCCAATAGAGACTATATCCAGTTTTTAGTAGTCAATAAAGATCAGATTTGACCTCGAGGCACCCCCTTGAGGCGGTTAACAACGATGAAGAGAGAGGAAGAAAAGGGGAAAGAGAAAAAAGAAAGAGGAAAGGGCAAAGAGAAAAGTATAAAAGAAGGGGAAAAGGAAGTAAATTTATTTAGGGTGTAGTTAAATGTCAAAATTACCCTTGTAGAAAAATGAAAATATCAAGTTTACCTATTCATTAGTTAACTTTAACGGACAATATTAATGTAATGGGGGCTAGGGTACATTTCCCCTATGTGCGAGGGCTTGCTATTATCAGGCTATTTAAACGGGGTTTTCTATAATTACCCCAAAAAATAGTACTCTAAATGATTTTCTTTTTCCAATCTAATACTAAAAAGAGTAATGCTACACTTACACCATTTTTTTACATCATTTTGTAAACATCATGATGTGACATATGCTACAACTACACAAATTTTATTATAATATTAAAAATTCAAAATAATTAAAAATTTGTGTGGTTGTGACATATGCCATATCATGATATAATGAAAATTGTGTAAAAGAGTGATGTAAGTGTAACATTACTCTACTAAAAAATTCATTGAGAGTTTAATCAACCAAAGAAAACTTGTATAAGAGCATCTCCATGTTGCTCTTTAATTTGAAAAGCATATTTCATATAAATAAATAGCACCTTAATTAATTTTTAAATATAAAAAATACAATTTTTATTCAAATCCAATAGGCTTTTTAAATTTAATGAAGATGCTTTTTATTTTGAAGAAATAGACTTAATGGGAGAGAGAATTAATAAATTAAATGCATAGAAACTTGTAGTTTATTAATTAAAATTAGGATAGAGAGTGAAATTTGACTCTCTAAATGTGGAGAGTCAAACTCACTCTCTAATTTATATTTTAAAGATAAATAACATGTTGAACTCTTGTTTTTATGGATAGACTTTCTATAATAAAGAGTTTAGGTCATATAGAGAGTCATTTGAAAAAAATCTCCAAATGACTTTTTATATGACTCAAACTCTTTATTATAGAGAGTCTATCATCTCCAAATGATTTTTTATATGAGCCAAACTCTTTATTATAGAGAGTCTATCCATAAAAACAAGAGTCTAATAGACTATTTATCTTTAAAATATAAATTAAAAAGTTAGTTTGACTCCTTATATTTAAAGAGTCAAATTTCACTCTTTATCTTAATTTTAATTAATAAATTACAAGTTCTTTTGTATTTTATTTATTAATTCTCTTTCCCATTAAATCTATTTCTTAAAAATAAAAAATATTTTTATTAAATTTAAAAAATTTATTAGATTTAAATAAAAATTATGTTTTTTATATTTAAAATTAATTAAGAAACTCTCTTTATTTATGCGAAATATGCTTTTAAAAATTAAGATGGTTGGAGATGCTAAAGTTTTTGGTGGCCCGATTTATCGAGAGAGTCCAGCTACACCGAATGTAGTCACTACAATAGATTCTTAATTGGATCGCTAAAAAGGAAGAAAGAAATGCGTGAATCCCGTTCATTCCTCGGTGGCCTTCATGAATGTTAGAGTTTTCCATAACTATAAATACTAATTTCTACTCTTGGTCATTCTATTTCTCTCTCTGGCTGTGAATGGAGACAGTGATGCAGAATGAAACTGATAACGGCGTTGTATCAACTGGATCGTCTCTGATATTTCTAGGTACGGGCTGCTCCAGCGCCCTCCCAAACACATTGTGCCTTATTCGGCCTTCAGATCCTCCTTGCAACGTCTGCTACCCAGCGCTGTCTCTCCCGCCTCACCTTAATCCTAATTACAGGTCTATCTTTACCTTTAATTTTTCAGATCATTCTTTGTTTATTTCCATGGATTGAACTGAATTGAATTTGAAATTGAAATTTGGATGTTGATTCAGGTGTAACACTTCTCTTCTAATTGATTACTGTGAGAGTCAGAGTGATGATAAACACAGCTACATTTTAATTGATGTTGGCAAGACCTTCAGGGAGCAAGTTCTTCGCTGGTTTACCTTCCATAAAATTCCTCGAGTCGATTCTGTTAGTTTTTTTTTTCTTTTTTTTCTTTTTTTTTTCCTACTGAACACTTTTTATGCTTAATTAACTTCATTAACGATCCATTTAAATTTATATGAGGAATTTTGAGCACTAAAATAATTTGTGTTATTTGTTTGTCTGATCATCATATTACATTGATGTTCATTTCTCAGTTTTCTTTATTGTGGAATGCAGATTATTTTGACTCATGAACATGCTGATGCAGTTCTTGGTCTGGATGATATTCGTGCTGTGCAACCATATAGCGCCACGAATGATATTGACCCGACACCTGTTTATTTAACTCAGTTTGCAATGGAGAGGTGCTTGTTCTGTTTTCAGCTCTTTTCTTTTTCTAGATTTTGTGATACAAGTCTGTCTGTTATGAAGGTATGCACTATAATTATCATATTTCTGATGATTATTTGTGCAGACTTCAGTTTTACCTTGCCCTGCTACAATCTTGTTTTAGGCTTCTGTTCTTCCGAGTTATTTTTGGAGGCACTTATTATGTTTGGTTCAGCCGGAATATTTTCAAACCTCTTTCAATTATAAGTAACCAAATTGGTCTCATCAATTCACATGTCAAAAGACTAAATTCTCTTAGTTGCTTTTATTTAATTGTATATATTTATACTTGCTTGTGAACTTTATCTTAATTCTGTCGTCTAAGATCAAAAACATTTCAGGGTACTTGACTTATTTATTAATAGTATGAGCATAATAGTTGTATGCCAGAGGACAATGACATCTTGCATTTACTTTATGGGTCATACTACGATATCAATGCGGTAGTAGTGTCCTGTACTGAAATATTGGTTACAAGTTGTAATGTTTTGGTATCATATAACCATGTTTTGGTTAACCGTATTAAATACAATATTTACATATATTAGTAACTGAAAAAAGTTTTTTTGTTCCAAAAATATTGACTTGTAACCAAGACATAGATATCTGTTTCTTGAACATCAGCCCAGTAATGTTGCCAGGCCTAGTACTGTAGCAAAGACTCGCACTTTGTTACTGGAACTTATATTTTGTATTTGTCAGCTCGGGAAAATGTTAAGATATGCTCATGCAATCTGTATTTAGCATTTTGAGCTGATGTTTGCTTTAAATGTTATCATTACTTGTAAGTACTTATTATTTGAGTTTGTTTGACCTTGGAAACAGTGTTTCAGTGAAATTTCCATATTTGGTTCGGAAGAAACTGAAAGAAGGCCAAGAAATTAGACGGGTGGCACAAGTTGACTGGAAGATAATTGAGGAACAATGTGACAAGCCTTTTGTTGCTTCTGGCCTAAAATTTTTTCCCCTTCCAGTTATGTGCTCTAAGTTCCTGTTGTTTATGATATTTATCCCCCTCGATTCATTCATGTCTTTTCTCTCATTGTTTATGTTCGGAATATAGGTGATGCATGGGGAAGATTATGTCTCCTTGGGCTTTCTCTTTGGTGAAAAATGTACAGTTGCATATATATCTGATATTTCACGCTTTCCTTCAAGCACAGAGTATGGTGAGTGTTGATTTAGTTCCTTTTGCTTGTGTGCTGATACATATTGATTGAGTTGTTTATGTAGATTGTTAGTCTCATGCTTGTGGCAGTGGCAATGGACAGAGTAATGGAGCCACTTAAGTTCTTGGTGTGTTAAAAGAGGTTATACATAATTTTAGTCCCCTAAATAAATACTTTAAAATGGTTCTCCCCTTAATAACTTTACAAATTGCCCATGCCTTTCTCAATGTTCTTCTACACCCATTTATTCTGTGCATATAAATTACAAAAAGTCCAAGACAGTCTTGTTTATTGAAAACTATGATTCTGTCTGCATTCAGGGTCCAATTGTATGCTTTGCAGGTTTTGGTTTTATATATTTAAGTTCAATAGACAGTTACATCCATTCTGTTTCCATGCTCATATCAAACTCTTATGAAGACTCCACATATTGTTTGCATATGAAAAATTAGTATAAGTGTAATAAATTCCGAATTGCCTTGAAGTTGAATTTCCTTTTTCCTTTCTAACTTTTTGAAGTTCCTGAATTTCTTTCTTCACCTAAATTCTGGACTTTATTCTATTCATTTTTTCTTAACCCTATTAATCATGTTAGATCAAAGTTCTTAGGAAATAATTTGAAAAAAAACCATCAATAAATTTATTTTACTTGTAAATGTTTTATTATGGCAGATAGATCTTAAATTAAATGTCATTTCTCTTATAATCAGCATTGTTGTTTTTATGGTTTGTTGTTGTGGCTGATGCATTTTTTTTATTTGCATCTTTGGGTATGAGATCCACCTTGTCTTTTAAAGGAGTTGTTGCAGTCTTAATACAGTAGACGTGAGGTTATTTTTTTTTTTTTTTTTTTTTTAAGATTTTTGGTACCTTCTAAGATTTAAAGGATTGCATCACATATCTGAAAATGCTGGAAATCTAATTTGTGACACATTTTATGGAATAGAATAAATTTTAATGAGAAGCTTTTTCTGTTTTATCGTTCAATAAGAAAAGTATGGTTTTGCAGTAATTTCGAAATCTGGTGCTGGGCAATTGGATCTTCTTATCTTGGATACATTGTATAAGGTCAGTCAATAAGTTTAGAACTCTTCTGGTGCTGTTTTGACTACCTTCTAAGGATATTTTTGGTTCATTGTTTTATTTATGAGAATTTTGATTCTTGTGGAGGTTAGCATTTTGCCCCTTTTGGACAAAAAATCACCAGTTGTTCTTCATCTTTGCTTGTGATAATATTTAATTGATTCTGTAAATACTACTTGCTTGGGTATAATTTTCCTTCTTAAATAATTGGAGCCTGGGAACCTTAAATCTTTTGTTTATTTATTCATTTTTAGTTGACCATCCATCATGGTAGTTCCAAGGGTTTTCATAATAATGTAGCACAGATGTTTTGTTATTTTTGCAAACACCTTGTGTCTGTTTTTTAACCATTATGGTATATATAATTAGGTTGTGTTAATGAGTATCCCAGGAGCACCTGTTAAGAAACTTAAAATTGTAAGTTAACATTTATCATTTACGTCTGACAGATAATTGTTTTAATAAATTCCTTTAACTCCTTTAAATGATAAAATTAATATCAATTTGTCATTTTAAGTTTCTTACCATTTTAGAACACATGCTGACATTAGCATGATATATTTGTCTTTCCATGATAAGAGATGCTAGAAACATCCCCTTCCTCACTTTTCTTTTGACACATGTACAAGAGACCAATTTTGTAGCAAGTTGGTAATTACTTTTCCTTTGTCTTTATATAAGTATCAATAAGTTGGGTGGGGGGAGTGAAAAGGTAAGTATACCTAGCATGCCTCTTCCATAAATGCTTTTTGCTAATTCTCGTTATTGCAATTTCAACAAACTAATAATTTTCCTATTTTGTTTCCATCTTTTCTCTCTTTCCAGACTGGATCCCATAATACTCACTTCTGCTTTCCACAGGTTTGTTTACTTAATGCTGAAATTCTTACTCATGTTAGCTCATCGATTGTTGAATGTTGCTTATGACATTGACTAGTATTTGGGCAGACTCTTGAAGCTGTGAAAAGGTTATGTCCTAAGCGGGCTCTGTTAGTTGGAATGACTCACGAATTTGATCACCACAAGGACAATGATTTTCTTGTAGAATGGTCCAAAAGGTAGATGTCCACTGTTTCTTTTTAAGATTTTACTGTTTCTTTTTAAGATTTTGTGCTGTAATCTCTGGCCATATCTGTGGAAAGATCTTGTAAAAGATTCTGATGTTATATGTTTTCTCTTTGCTCATATTCAGGGAAGGAATCCCGGTGCAGCTTGCACATGATGGTTTGAGAATCCCCATAGATCTATGATGAGGTTAGAAAATTACTTAAAACTTAGATCTAGTTTATAAATTGGGAAGAGAATGCCATTTTTATATTATTGTTCTATCTCTGAAGATAAAATCACTTTCCTGATGAATTTATTGACCATCCCTCTTGGTGTGGTATGGTTTATGCATATCAAGAATTGCATTTTAGGCACTTAATAAGCATACCCATGGTTCTTAGATAGATCGACTAGAGTTAAATGATTAGCTAGATCGCAAAGCATTCTTAGATCAAATTAAAAAAAAAAGCCAAGTGAATCATAACATGCAAATTTAGTTGATAGTTATGAGTATCACAGTTTTGTATAATCAATATGGCTCTGAAGGAAATATATAAGCATTAATTCTTTAGTCTGTCTAAGAAATCTGACTGAATTTTTTTTTTCCCATTTTTGTGTGAGCAGGTCAATATGAAGTAAAGGCTAGAAGTATACTTTTTTCACCCCATTTGATGGGAAGAAGTGAAGCATAAAATTTTTTAGTCATTTTTAATGTCAGCATTCAATTATTTTAGGTTATATCGACTATCAACTTTATAGAGAAACATAAAAAATTATCATTATTATTAATAGACAATTTTTTTTCTATTGAAAATGTTAGGATGAAAGAGATTAAATTATGAAATGTTATGTCTTATAGATATTGTTTTGTTTGTCTGCCTAGTTCAGTGACTGGTTTGGTATAAATGTTGAATCGCCTTGTTCCTGAACGTTACTCTGAAATTTGAATGACCTGGAAATCATATATATATATATATAGTTTTAGTTTCAGTAAATCTGAGGAAAAATCCTTGATAATTTGTACACAACAAACTCATAATGACTTTACTTAATCTCCCATTAATTTAGATTAAATTAATACCGTAATGTTTAAGTTATTTGAATCCAAGAAGAGAAGTGCTACCTTTCTAGAAATTCAGACTTCATATGTTCTCGTTCATATCGGATTTTAAGTAAACTAAAATTAAAAGAGAATTGAAACGTAATATGTTAAGTGTAAAACTTCATATTCCAATAAAGTTGTTCATTTGATTTGGTAATAGACAAATTTGACCTGGTCATATTCATATTTCATTTTGAAGACAATTACCAATACCATAAGTCACGCAACTAAATTATTCATCCTTCTAGACCTTCTAAGAAGACTTGAAAAACATATTATNAGAATGCCATTTTTATATTATTGTTCTATCTCTGAAGATAAAATCACTTTCCTGATGAATTTATCGACCATCCCTCTTGGTGTGGTATGGTTTATGCATATCAAGAATTGCATTTTAGACACTTAATAAGCATACTCATGGTTCTTAGATAGATCGACTAGAGTTAAATGATTAGCTAGATCGCAAAGCATTCTTAGATTAAATTAAAAAAAAAAAAAAAAAAAAAAGCCAAGTGAATCATAACATGCAAATTTAGTTGATAGTTATGAGTATCACAGTTTTGTATAATCAATATGGCTCTGAAGGAAATATATAAGCATTAATTCTTTAGTCTGTCTAAGAAATCTGACTGAATTTTTTTTTTCCCATTTTTGTGTGAGCAGGTCAATATGAAGTAAAGGCTAGAAGTATACTTTTTTCACCCCATTTGATGGGAAGAAGTGAAGCATAAAATTTTTTAGTCATTTTTAATGTCAGCATTCAATTATTTTAGGTTATATCGACTATCAACTTTATAGAGAAACATAAAAAATTATCATTATTATTAATAGACAATTTTTTTTCTATTGAAAATGTTAGGATGAAAGAGATTAAATTATGAAATGTTATGTCTTATAGATATTGTTTTGTTTGTCTGCCTAGTTCAGTGACTGGTTTGGTATAAATGTTGAATCGCCTTGTTCCTGAACGTTACTCTGAAATTTGAATGACCTGGAAATCATATATATATATATATAGTTTTAGTTTCAGTAAATCTGAGGAAAAATCCTTGATAATTTGTACACAACAAACTCATAATGACTTTACTTAATCTCCCATTAATTTAGATTAAATTAATACCGTAATGTTTAAGTTATTTGAATCCAAGAAGAGAAGTGCTACCTTTCTAGAAATTCAGACTTCATATGTTCTCTTTCATATCGAATTTTAAGTAAACTAAAATTAAAAGAGAATTGAAACGTAATATGTTAAGTGTAAAACTTCATACTCCATTAAAGTTGTTCATTTGATTTGGTAATAGACAAATTTGACCTGGTCATATTCATATTTCATTTTGAAGACAATTACCCATACCATGAGTCACGCAACTAAATTATTCATCCTTCTAGGCCTTCTAAGAAGACTTGAAAAACATATTTTATATATATATAAAAAAAACTAAATTTTTTTCTTAAACCCACATACGAAAATCATCAGAAATTCCCTTTTAAGCCTTTTAAAAATTATAGATTATGTTTCAGAAATTAATTTATAAGTAGTAGTATTTTTATGCATGGTTATCAAATCATGTATCGTATTGTGTATCGAAAACCTAATTTTTTGAATTGTGCATCGCGTATCGTATAGTATTGTAAGATACGCCTTTTTAAAAAAATTAATAAAATAATCAAAATTTTCTAAAAATTAATATTATCCCCAAGATTAATTAAAAAAATTTGTGGTATTATTGGCTTTAAATTACGGTATTACATAATCAAAATTAATCACAAAATTCCAAGATTAATGTCAATATCTATATCTCCACTTATATTGTTATTATCATGTAAAATGGGTAATACATATTCCTCTTCGCTTTCTCCATGCAAAATGGGTAAATTTGGACAGGTTTTAGTGAATCGAGTTGGGTGACCCGGTTTCGACCCGATTTTTTTTTTTTGGACCTTTGGCCCAAATTAATAAAATCGTATCAATTTATATCGATATTTTTAAAGATACGTATCGTATCGTAGCATACATATCAATGTATTGAAAGATTTAGGATACATTCTCTGATACATATCGTTAACAACCTATATCGAATCGTATCATATGATACGTATCGGGTATCGTAGGATACTAACAAGTTTTTATATAGAAAAAGTCAAAATGCAAGACCAATAACATGTCTATTTTCCAATGTCAACAGTCAGTATCCAAAGACGACCAGGCAACTGAACTCCACAACCACTTTTCTTGTTCCCAAGTTTCACGTATCTGATACCTTTTTGTTGATTCATTTCCGGACACGGAAACAAGTTTATAAAAAGGAAAAAGGGGCCAAAGTAAAAGAAATTAAAATAATTAAGATGGCATGTTATCTTCCTTTCAACAACAGAAACTTGGATATAAGCTTTTTTGTATTCAGGCCAACGGTAGTAGTGGTGGAAGAGCTTGTTGAGGCACTCAAACATTTCTGTATCTGCACTCAAACTCTTGGCTGTCTCCAAACTTCCATTTTCAGGAGCATCCATGGAAATATGGTTCTTTCTTTCAATCTATCTATCTATATGTATATATATTTGTTTTCTAGTTTTGATTAAGGTTTATTTCAAGTCAACTACTCTTAGAGTACTGTCATAAATTAATTTATATCTTCATTGAAGAAGAAATCTGATCTGTGAGCAGTTATTAATTATTTAGTTGATTTACTCTGTAGATCATATGGTATGGAGCGTGGACAAAGAGATCGAGAGAAAACAAAGAAATCTTAACTTCAGCAATTGTAAGTTGCACTATCATGTCTATATGTAGGAAATAATTCAATATAATTGCGGAACCATATAACAGTGGAGTGTTTCACAATACCCTTTTCCCTTCTGAATCTCACAGTGAAAATCTAAAACGAGATTTTACACTAATCACAGCAAAAGATTTCTCTCTCAATATGAATGAACAGAGAAGAAAAGGGAACTGTGTTTGTTTGTTTCTCTTGTAATTGGTTTCGTTAACGAAACCAATTAAGTTATATTAAGAGAATTAGGAAACTACCTACAAACTGCTAATTACCGCAATACAGATATCTGTGCAGTTACTTGGTAACTGCATCCCATGGCCTGTTTTAAGTGCACTCATGAAAATCCAACACTATGTATATTGAATTTATCATATTCTTCATTAAATCATGATGTTGTGTAAGAGTAACATTAATTTTGGAATGAATTTTGGCAGCTATCAATGTTAACAAATTTATCAAGCATGGCTATCTTGATTGAACATAGCTTCTTTGATACATATGCTGGAGACTCAAGAGAAGGATCCTCTGCTGCAAAATTCTGTACGGGTGACATAATATTCATGAACATAACTTCGCCGAGTACCGGAGACATAAACGACCTCTCCTATGCAAACTTAGCATTATTCAGAGACAGATTCCTGAAGATGGAAGGAGCAATCTCAGGAGTTTGCTTGAAATGCCAAACCATTCCAAGAGTGTCAAGTCTTATTGTTTGGAAGTCTCTGCAGTATTGTTATACATGGATACTTAATTCAGACTACAGAAAAACAATACTGCCATATCTTGATCGCTTTAAACTTGAAATTAGGTATGATATTTTCAGGGTAGTTTATGCCTGCAATGACCATGTACCGAACTCTATTCACTTGGTGCCAAATGGAGAAGAAGAGAAAATGAATATGTAAATCTATGGTGCCAAATGGAGAAGAAGAGCAAATGAATATGTAAATCTATACTCATCAGAGAAACACAACCAATTTTGCTTACATTTTTGTTTATTTATTCTGTAAATAATTTTGTTATTACTACGTTGAAGAATGGAACTTTTTTTTCATGTTGCCAAGTACATATTAATTTATGATTAATAGTATAAATTCTGATTTTTAGCCTTAGTCTTTTGTCTCAATAACCCCATTTTTTGTTTTATTCTTCATTTTTGATAAATTTAACTTTAACTACAATTACTATAAAGGACACTATAGTAACTAAAACACACATGCTTTATTTTCATCTTAAATCTTCACTTTTTATATAAACCTTAACTCTAAATTTTTATAATCATTTAAAACTTTAATGTTATCTCAAATGTATGTTTTGATAAAATCACATAAATGTCCTTCATTTCATTTTTTTCATTTTTTTTAATTTTAAAAGAGTAAAAACATTTAATTTCTTTTACCTATGTCATATACCTGCCACTATCTTTATTCCTAAAACAAAATCTTAGACATTTCAAATTGAAGGTTCAAAACATTTAAAGATAAAAAATTAATTAATTAAAAAAAATAAAGACCATAGTGCAAGTATACAAATAATTAATAAATTTTGTAATACTATATTCGCATAAGATACAATAATAAGAAACATAAAAGAAAAAAAAAAAATCTTAACATTATTATGTCAATAGAAGTTAATAAATTGTAATAGCCCGACCTATTACCAAGATATTGTGAATTTATGTGCGTCCCTCTTAATGAAGTCCTAATTTTGAAACAAGAGGGACACCCATAAATTCATAATATCTTGGCAATGGACTGGGCTGTTACATAAACAATTCTATTATAATAATTATTAAAATGAAATCTCTACCTTTTCTAAATAAAGATATAACTTGAAATAAAAATAAAAAAATAAAAAAAATTGAGAAGTGATTAAAAACTTACACTTTCATATTGTTTTATAACATGATATATCCTATTGCAAATCTTCTTTTTCCATTAAACCATCTCTTTACTTCTAAGTATGATTGGAAAAGCATATAATAATTAGGGTTTACGAGATAAATGTAAGGTATCAAAAGTACTTGTGAAAATAAGAAATTAAAGTTAATTTTAATTATTTAATATAGGAAAACTTGTAATTATAAAAATTATTAAAAAGTGGAGTTTATTTAGTCCATTAACCGAGTGCCAATGGATCTACTCTAAAAACTAGGGTAAAAAATGGCTCAAACCAATTCCCATAATTATGGACGTTACGTCGTTACCCTCCATGAAAAGTCCAAAGTCAGACAAGTACTGATTTCTCCATTCCACACATTTCTCCATTTACAAAAAGAGTGGTTTTATTCGCCCCCATTTCTTAATTAAAGAAGCCCGATTTCTTAAGACACCGCATTTAAAAGTTCTAAAATTAATTTTCTTTTCTTATGGCAACTTAAAGTTCAATAGGGTTATTATCAAACGGAAGACACTGTTTTAGAAAACTAAAAGAAAAAGATTCAACTTTCATTTGTATCAATAAACAGATATTTTTATCAATGATGAACACTTTTTTATCAATAAACAAACTTTTTTTTTTACTAAAAAGTGTCTTTTGGTTGATAAAGATGTCCGTTTATTGATGCAAATGAAACTTGTGTCATTTTTCTTTAGTTTTTTTTTTTTTTTTTAAAAAATATCCTCCAATTGATAATAAGGCAATTCAATAAGTACCCTTATTGGTGGTCTTTTGGAATTAAATAATAATAGAAATTATAGCAAAATGTCCAATTACAAATATAAAATAACAAAAACACAAAAAATCTCTTCTTAAGGCTTGATAAAAATTCTATTAGGCGCAATTGACCAGATGTCATCTTTCTTCTCCGATTTCGACCACAAGTTCTGATTAGTTCTGTGACATCTTGGCCCACCCAAAACGTGTCTTTAAATAACTTTCTCAAGCGATTTGAGATGTCATAATTCATCCCCCCCTTTGGATGCAACTTACACTTTCGAGTAGACCTTGTTCTGATACCATTTGTAACAACTTGGCTTACTGTCAAAATGTTGTGTATTCACACACATCCCTCTTGATTTGAATGTAGGAATTCATCCTTGAAAAGGAATTGAGTTCATGCTTCGTTTCCAAGGATGAAGTCCTAGGTTTGAATCAAGAGAAATGTGCATAAATACACAATATTTTAATGTTCTTCCAATGGTCCTACAAAGTGACTCTTGATGGCAACGTATATGCACATTGTAAGAATCATATGTCAGTTTTCGTACAAAGTGACTGTGAACTTTGGGATATGGTGCAAGATGAACCTTTTGTGCCAATGAAAGAAGTAGAGGGAAGACAAGTGCCAAGACTAGGGAAGAGATGACCCCTAAAGACAATAAAAGAGTTTCGATTAATGCTAGGGCAATGAATGTCTAATATTGTGCCCTCAATGAACACAACTTCAACAAGGTGCAACCATGCACCTCCGCCAAAGAAATTTGGAAACTTTTAATTCTCTCAAATGGGGGGATTTATCAAGTTAAGGAGACCAAAATTAGCATGCTCATTAATTCATATGAATTGTTTAGGATGCATGAAAATGAAACTGTAAGTGAAATTTTTGACAGATATATCACTATAGTCAATGAATTAAAAAAATCTTGGTAAAGTGTATTCTAACCAAGAAAATGTCAAGAAGATTCTTAAGTATTTTGTCTTCATTTGGGATCCAATGGTGACAGCTATTGAAGAGGCAAAGGATATAAGAACCTTACTGCTTGAAGAACTTATGGGGTCACTCCTCACCCATGAACTTACCTTGAAGCAAAGAGAGATTGATGAAGATGAGAAGAAGAAGAAGAAGAAAAGGAGAAGTGCATTCAAGTCCTCCATCAAACAGAAAAAATAAAATGAAAATGAGGAAAAATCAAGGAAGATGAAGAAATTGTCATCATAGCTAAGAAAATTGGAAAGGTTCTTGGAAGTAGAAAATCAAGGAGGAATGACAACTTCATCAAGAAGAAAGATCCTAGAGGAGAAAGACTAAGGAAGGGCCAAGTAATATTTACTACAAATGCTAAATGCTGGGGCACGTCAAGTATGATTGCCCTTTCTTAAAGAGTAACAAATTCAAGAAGAAAACCATGAAAGTCACATGGGATGATAATGAAGAAAGTGAATCTGATCAAGAGGAGAATGAAAGTGGCCAACATTTGTTTTATGGTGATTAATGAAGAAAATGTAACAACTTCTAACTATTCTTTCGAATTTGATGATGCTGATGAGATAGATTATAATCCTACATGTGAAGAGTTGTATGATGTCCTTGAGGAGGTTAATAAGAAACTAGAACTTTACATTTTTAAGAACTCTCTTAAAAAGAAAGCTTTAAGTCTTGAAAAACAAATTTGAGGATTTGAGAAAAGAAAATGATTTTCTAATAAAAGAAAATTTTAAACTTAAAGGAAAGAAAGTTGAACAAAATGACTTCTCCACTTTCGAAAAAGAAAAATAAAAATTTGAAATTGGTTTTATCACTTTTTGAAAAAGAAAAACAGAAATTTGAAATTGATTTTATTGCATTTAAAAATGAGAAGAAAACCATTGAAAATGAGATTGAGACATTAAAGAAGAATGCCAAAAATTTGAGTGAAATCATTTTGAAGTTCAAAATGGAAAAGATATTTTAGATAAAATGCTTGGAGTCGAAGGAGGTGTTTTAAACAAAAGAGGACTTGGTTTTAAATTCTTTATTAAACAAAAATATTGGAAAAAATATTTTGTTAAAATCTCCTCTTCAAGTGAGCAAAATGTGACTTGTAAGCATTGTGGTGGTATAGGTAATATGTCTTTCTCTTTCCCTATCAAAAGAAATCAACTTCTGGGCAAAGAGAATATGTGGGTTTTTAAGGGAACCAAAGCTAACCCTCATTGGACCCAAGTTAATTTAGGTACCAAAGAGAAAAATTTTAATATCTTTGTCGGTACCTAAATCATGGAATATTGAGTGGTTGCTCAATTTGAGAATAGAGAGAAAGTATATTAAAGAAAATTGGACTTCACTAAGGCATCTCATGGTTTCATTGTTGGAGACAAACAAGGAAGGCACATATTTATTGTGACAAATGTTTGGTAAAAATTCCTTTCTTATCATGGTTATTGAATGAGAATAAGTATGTTTTAAGGATAAGTTGCATTGTTTTATCTTCTTGAATATGATTTGAATTGATGGAAGCTTTATTTCAAACCTCACAAATCATGAATTTTATTTTTTAAATAGAAAAAAATCATCTTTTGAATAAATGAAATTCATGTCTTCATGGAAAATTATTTACCTTTATGAATTTTATTTTTGTGCTTCTTTTACGTGAAAATCTCTTTAATATAAGAATACCTGATTCCGTCCTTTCTAAAGGGAGAAAATATTTGAAACAAAAAGATGATTCTCTTCAAATGGTTTGAATTTCCTTAAAACATTTTTATTGAATACTCAAAATGGGGAAAACTTGAGATCATGGATCCACCACACTAGTTAACATTATTTGCATAATTTTTGGATTCTAGGGGATGTAGCTACCATATAACATCATTCAATCAATTCAAACTTTGAAGAAGAAAAAAAAAAAAAAAAAAAAGCTTTATATTTGTATTTACAATTTTGACCTCACTTAAATTCATACTGACCCCACAACATTTTTTTACCTTTTCTCTCTCTTTTCCTCTCTCTCTACTTTCTCTTCCTTGGTTGGTTACCCAAGAAAGCCTACTCATTTGAGGTTACAAGGTAAGATTTGTTAAATTTTTTTTTTTTTTTTTGTGCTTAACTCTTTTTCTTTACTTTATTATTGATGACATCATAGCTATGAGTTTTTGTTGAATTTAAAAATGGTTTGAAATTGGAAGATTAAATTCTTAGATTTTAATGTGGGTTTTGATTAACTGTTTAGTTGAGGTATGGGTTAATTAATTTTTGTTTTAAGTTGGTTTTGATAAATTTGGTTAGTTATGAGTTAGTTTTGAATGGATTTTGTAACCCCCTTATGAAAAATATCCTAGAGGGGGGTGAATAGGGTACTTTAAAAATATTATGTGGAATGAAAACTTAAACAAGTTATAGACACACAACACTAACAAA